AGATTACATTGTTTAAAATGTTTTTACCAGCTAAATATTTGGCTAAGCTCTTTAAAGCCGCAGATGCAGCTTCCTAATGTTAAAGAGTATGAATAGAAAGTAGATCAAGATGGAAGGCTGATACCCACTCTAAGACTGTCCGACCTGCCACCAGACATAACAGAACTTACATAATGCAAATGCAAAAAGGTACTATACACCGATAATTTTCATAGATGTACAATATTCTAACAATATTATTCTGTTCTAGACTAAGAAAGCAAAATTTGCAAATGTAGGAAAAAAATATTGACTGTATCGGTTCCTGCACCTACCTGTATGGCACAGAAAAACTGCAGCAAAAGTTTGACCACAGCTGCTAATATTTTGGAAAATGTTAATTCGTGTGGTGAATCTGATTCTGATTAGTTTAAAAGTCTTGTACCCACTCATAAATTTTAATAATATTAATTTATACTTTATACCTATTCTTTTAATTATTAGTATTATTATTATAATGTTTTTTACATTGGGAATTTATTGTATTTTGCAAAGCAACAGCCTTACTGTTTATAATCGATACTTATATATACTGTGTTTATACCTTCAATAAATAGTTCATATTTTTTTATTTTTTATTTTCCTCAAGAAATAAAAAAATTAATCATAGCATATAAATCAATAATCCCTGAATAAAATAGTATGAGAAAGTCAAACTGATTGCATACATTTTAGCACTGAGAGAGAAGTATAGAGAGTCGAGAAGCTTTACCTTCAATGTTTGCTTTCTAGTTAAACCATGACATAACTAATTGTTTATTGCTATATTTTTGTTAATATAAAAGTAAAAAATATGGGGAAAGCACTGTTACCTTGTTAATACATAGGCGAAACTTTTAAGAAGAATAGTTTTTTCTCATTTAGGCCTTCGTTTTTCGTCAAATGAGAGGTATATTTTTAAAAACAGATTTTTTTATACAAATTTGTGGACGGTTGAAACCGAGATATTGACGTTTAAATTTTTTTTCGACCATAAGGGCTAATGCAAATGATTTTTTTTAAATAATTATAAAAACACACTTCCTACAAAGACCTAATTGCGCATTAGAACAAAAAAATAAGCATTTTTTTTTCTATATGGTGGTGTCAATAACTCGATTTTTTATGATAGTGCCCTTTTGCACTGTCTAATTTTGTATTACCTCCGGAATAAGGGTAAGCTTATCATGTACTTTCATCCCTGAAAAATTCAGCTTGTGACACGAAGTGGGAGGCAAAGTCAAAAAAATTTTAATCTATACCATACAAAAGCCCGTACCTGTGAGTTTAGAAGAATACAATATTTTTATTCGCAGATGCGAAAATGCAGAACGTATATTTGTTACTTAGTTGCTAACTAGAGGCAGCACCTCTCGGATAACTTTATTTTGTCTCTCTCTGAGAGGACTTGTTCAGACTTCTCTGTTCCATTGCACGCCCTTAAAAGAATTTGGTAAGCATGCATTACAAAAATATTAGTTATGGTGTAGAATCAAGTTGACATAAATATTGTCTGGATTTTGCTTACTTTTTAAAAAGAAAAAAGCTATAGTATCAGAATGATGAAATATCCTCAAATATTTATAATTTATCAGTTACGGGGGTTTGGCTTATGTCGCCAATATTCTATCGAATAGATTACCCTCCAAAATCCCCTCTAAAATACGCCTATGCTTAGTTACCGCTAGATGAAGTGAATAATTCTAGTAAACACTGGATCCATGACGAAACGTTTAGAAACATTTATTTGTTTTGGTGGATGCATAGTCAATAAAATGGTGGATACGTTGATGTGTTCTGGCGGCTAGATTATTCTAGAAGCTACTTATAAGTATAAATAGGCTGTTTTGCTGACGGAGTAGTTAGTTTTTAAGTAGATATTATTGTGTTGTTAAGATAAATATTTTTATTATCAATTAGTATAGAGATACAAATTAGTATTGTATTTATTACAAATATTTTCAATAAAAATAATTAATCGTTATATAAATAATGTTATTTATGTAACATTTCATTAAATCCATTCCAAAAAATTCATTAATTATTTTTCATGGAATTATTTTCCAAAATACGATCTAATTTTCAGATTGTATTAAAGCAGTTTTAAACATATCTATTATTTTTTTGTTCATAGGCATACATGTGTCTAAGTTAAGTTTACCAGGTGTTTTAAAAACTTAATTTATGACTTATGTTTATACACATACTTTTATTTAGACAATTGATTTATTTTTTGTAAATTTCGTACTTTTTCAAATAAATAATTTATTTAGCACTTTTTTCTCTGTAGCACTATATTTTCTAAATAACATAAACTTCCGTCGTTCAGCCAAATCCCCTTCAAAAAACAAAAAAATAAAACCTCATAATCCTTTTCCGCAACTCCGAAAGTTATCTTTTTCGGTTTCCGATTTCATTATATCTTCTATTAGCCATAGATTTACCCGAGTTGAATCGGAACAATCGTGGCCTCGTCCTAAACGGCTCATCCGTTATCTTTATCATGGCCTTCTTTTCGTCCAGCGATTTCAAGAGTAGATCCAATAAAAGTTTACGATGATTCAAAGGACCATCACGTACGTACAAAATGTGACTATGTGACCAACCGAAATGGAATTCCTTATTCCTTCGATTCTTAAGAGTCCGCCCGGTTACAGAACAAAGACTCATAAAATAGTTGATCATGTAATGTCGATTCATCGTCTCTGAGGCTTATTGGATTCCATAAATTTTAAGAGCTGCCTATTTTTGTATTATTTGCTTAGAAGTTTCGTATTACTGTGCTTTATTTTATATTATTATATTATAACCAGTTCTCATTACAAACAAAAATATTTTAAAGGAAAATCAATTTCATTTAAAATAATCAAATTACAGTAGTACATATAGAAATAATTTAAAAAATAGTACAAAAACAAACCATTCTTATAACTTTGTAATATTCTTTTAAATATTTCAAAAGAATTGACACATATATCATTGGAACACGATTTAATTCACAAGCGTGTTTAAATAGGTTATAACGACTACAATTTGTTAAATGACCATTTTCATATAACAATGGTCTATTCCTAGTTCTTTATCCAATATTAAAGTGAAAGAAAGCAAAAAAGGATAAGATTGTGGTAAGTGCAGTTTCTATTTTCAAAGAAATATATTAATCCCATAGAATTGATGACGCCAAAATTTTGTATCTAATGTAAATCGGCCGCCTTAGGATTAGATTTATGTTTTTTTTTAATTGAGGCAAAATCCAATTTAAACTAACACTATTTATATCGACCTTTAATAACATATTTTTAAATTAATCTAGGATTTTAGATTTGCTAGAGAGAAACTTAGTTATTTACGAAGTGACAACAAAAACCGTCTTCTAACGCCTGCAAAGTTAACAACCTTTTTTCTAAAAAAAATATTTTAGATATATTAGATATCGCACCCTTGCTTCAAAAGTGACACAACTCAAAATTCACATTTTTTTGAGATAATACCATAATGAGACTAGTAAACAACCCTACATAAATCATCAACAGTATTTTAACTTAGCTTAGAAAAGTATTATCTAGATGGCGCCTGTGTCGTTTCTGAAGTTTCTAAACTGAATATAACCTCTGCAGCAAAAGTGACACATCGTTAGTTGTCGTCAGAACTTGATAGAAAGAGATTGCCTTGTCGAAAATCAAAAACGCACTATTTTGAGTTGTGACGTTTTTGCAGATTAAAACTGCAGTGAAATAATTTGAATTAATACAGTTTTGCAGATTAATAACGTTTACGATAGTGCATTAATTTAAGTTGTGTCATTTAGAAAAACTAGGGTAAGTAAAATCTGTTGTTTAAATTTTTAGTTTAGTGGTGTCACTTCTAATCAATTATTTTTTACCTTGCTCTTTACTTGTTTGGGTAACTGAGACTGGTATAAAACGAAAAGCAGAGAAGATTCTAAAACTTTCACTTTTAAAACCGAATAAAAGTTGGCCCTAATTAGATAAAAATTTTCAGATGGATCCACAAGGACGGACTGCTAATATTTTAAACCCGGCAGCTTAAAAATATAAACTGTCTGAATACCCTACCACGTCATCTGGAAATTCAAAAAATAAAGAAAGTTTAGGTTTTGGAAGTTCATTTTCTATGGTCAGTGAGTTACAATGCTGTGACGTTGCTGAAAATATCACAAAAAGTAAGAAAAACACAGATTTTGCAATCATCATCATCCCCAACAAATCTCTTTTTTATTGAAAGCAGCGGCATTCTCCAATCAAAATATAGTGATAATTATTACGCAGAAAACAACAAACAATTGGATTTTGGAAGTTCATCCCCTTTAATCAAGCAGCTACAAAGTAGTAATACAACAGAGCAATATTTTCATTTTTAAAATCAACAATCTATTGTAGATGACCAGGGAATAGACCAGCCAGAAAATATTTAATATTTGCAATGATGCATCGTGTAGTTCTGAGCGCCCCATTCTCTTACGTTTAAAAAAAAACAATGACAACAATTATTACGTCTCACCTAAACACAGTGATGAAAGACGATTCGGATGCAGATCCAAATTATCGTCACAGTTCAAGCAGTTCCTCTGAGAGTGAAATGGATCCAGTTCAGGATAAAAATTAATTGAGAAAGAAGACATTGAAATTCAGCATGGAAACTTAGCAGATAAAAAAGGGTAGAAGGGTAAAAAAAGAAAGCAAAACCTGACACGTGGCATGTTAAGGAAAGTAAATCACTAAGGAATTATGGAAAGGCTTATGTCTCCTTTTCTAAAACTAAAAAAAAAGATTACATTCTCCTTATGGAGATAAGTGCAGATTGAAATGCAGTACAAAAATAGACGAGACAGCCAGAGAAAACATTTTTTCTAGTTACTTGGAGATGTACAAAGTCAAAGAGAATTCATCGTTGCCAATGCCGAAACTATTAAACCAAAATATCGGTACTCAAGTACGCAAAATTTTCATAGCATGAACTAGGCCTTCTATTTCACCATCAACGATAACCGTATTAGAGTATGTAAGGCATTTTTTAAAGCGACTCTGGATATAACCGATCAACCTATTAGAACAGCTTTGATAAAGGAAACTGAAAGTGGTTTCTTAGATGGTGACAAAAGGGGAAGACATGGGAACCAACCCAAGGTTGATCCTGAAATCAAAGATAGTGTAAGAAACTTCATCAACGCTATACTACGAATAGAATCGCATTATCTACGGGCCCAAACAGCCCGTGAGTATATTGAGAGTAGTAAATGTCTCGCAGATCTATATCGTAACTATAAAGAAGATCGCATATTCATCAAAAAAGGATCAATGCGATCTCTGCAAGTCCTTTAAAAATGCAGATGAACAGGGCAAAGCAAATTTGGTAGATGCGTATAATCTTCACCAGAAAGACAAAGAACTTTCCCGTAAAGAAAAGGAAGCCAATAAAATAAATGTCAATGGTAGTCACGTTGCAATATACGATTTACAGATCCTGCCGTTCCTAGAGGTCAAGTATCGTCATTTTACTACAAAAGCAAACTTAACTGCTACAACTTCACCATCATAAGCATCCACTGTTATTTCTGAAATGAAACTGAAGGGAAGCGCGGTGCTGTAGAAATAGGCACTTGTGTACTTAAATACCTACAAGCCTTGTTGGAGACCGCCGATACACCTTTAAATATTGTCTTTTATTCGGACAGCAGAAAAATATAAGTATTTATTTGCTTATACACCATGACAACATTAAATATTGATAGTATTACACACAAATTTTTAATACACGGCCATTCTCAAAACGAAGACATTTAAAATCTAACCCAATTTACGTGCCAGAGCAGTATGCTACGTTGATCCGAACAGCAAAAAATGGCCCTCCTTATCGTCTGCATGACATGACATTTGAAGATTTCTATGACCTTAACACACTAAAAGAGGTAATGGGAAACAACTTTTCAACAAACACTGAAAATTTGAAAGTAAAGTGGCATGAAATAAAAATACTTAAAATAGAGAAGCAAAACCCTTCAAGTTTTTTTACAAAATGTCGTATGAAGATACAACTTTTAAGATGGTAAATATAAAAAAACCAAAGAACACCAGGTCAAAAGAAACTGAAATAAGAAAAGAATCTGAAATGCGTCTAGTACGGCTTATACCAATAAATTCTAACTAAGTGACAATAAAAAAAAAGGACTTAAAAGAACTTTCTGCGAAAAATATAATCCCGAAATTTTATTACAATTCTTACTTTAAGAATATTCTTGATTTACATTAGAATAATGTTCAGCATTTTTAAAAACTTAAGACATAATATTATTGTTTAACTTTAATTGATAAGTTCAAAATATTTTTTTATTTTCCGTCTTGTAGAAATATGCTTTTATTTCTGTTTAAGTTGATACAAATGTTTTTTTAGTATTGACTGAAAAACACATTTTTTTTAACTGACGGGTATTGAATAGGTAGGTACTTACTGTTAAAAATATAGGTTTTTAGTTAAACTTTGCCATAAAGTTTAGTGTTTTCTGAACACTAAACATGAAGAATCACTTTAAAACTAGGTATTTTTACTTTAAAGGTTGCTACTTTGTTAAGTAAATAAAGCATTTTTGTGTTTATATTGGTATTTTATTCACAATTTCTCTTTTTTAAAATTGTAAATGGATAAAACAGAAAAAATTGTGTAATTTTGCGATCCTCACACTGTTATAACAGTGTGAGGATCAACAACAAACTCCACAATAATATATTAAATGTAAAAAATATAAAAAAAATACAATACTCATCTACAATTATTTCATTACAGCATGTAACATCTTCAGGATGACAAGAAATTATATTTGATGACAACTACTTGATCTAATATTATAATAATTAGTTGTTATCTGTTAAATATAATTTCTTGTCATCCTGAAGATGTTACATGCTGTAATGAAACAATTGTAGATGAGTATTGTATATTTTTTATATTTTTTACATTTAATATATTATTGTGGAGTTTTTAGTTACCTTGCGTTTCATTTGTATATACTTATCTCATTTTCACGAAATTTATGGATTACGCCTATTGACTTCCAAGACGATTATATTTTAAACATATTTTTTTCACTTGTCAGAATTCGTACTGTGCAATCGTTATTCTTCGCATTTTAATGTGAGCTACTCGTAACATGCATATTTTCTCTTTATTTATGCAATTATGTTAATTGCTACGGATTTTTGTGTTTCTTTTATTTTTGTATGATTTACAATGTTTTTATCTAAATAAGTTATTTATATTAGTTATTGTTTCATTTATGTGAGTAATATGCAGGGTGTGTCCATTCATTGATAGTTCATATACATTTATATTTTCTGGGATCATTTTTTACGTACATTCCGGGTGGGCAACTACGAACGGGGAGGGCCCAACCAAAAATCGAAAAAAATTCAAAAACAAGTTTTACGAATAACATTTTTAAGGATTTCTAAAATAATTTCACATAAATAGTTTTCCACTCAAACAATACACCTGGTTATTTGGCAGTATTCATATTTAACGGTCGGTTTTTTTACCTACATCTATTAGTTTTAAATAACATTTTTAAATATAGCTTTTAAAAAATTAAGTAGTAGTCAGTATAGTGACTTGAAATTGCAAAATACTCGTTTGTTGAAAAAGTTCTTCAATAAAATACAGGCTTTTCATAAAAAAATTGAACTTCAACTGGAGACCGACTGTATGGACACCCCTGTATATGTGAAAATATTGTAGACATCCTTAAAAATAATATTCTCATAATTTGTTTTTGAAAAAAAATTGTAGGTAGCCAGGCACGGCCGACTCCCCCTATTTTCATTAATAAAATTTTGAACATGCAACGCCCTGTTTGTAAAGTTGAACAGAAGTAACATTTTTTAAACTTTTTTATAATTTCAATGTTTTCTTATTTGTTTAACCCTTTTTTTTTGTTTTTAATAAATCCATTGAAAACTAACTAATTTTTATATTTCGCATTTCCTACATTGTTTTGTTTATCTCTAGTCATATAATAACTCTGAATATATATTACTTATTTATATTGGGGTTTTTCCAAAATAGATTGTCCTAATGTTGCTGGGGCATATTGCGCCAATGTACTTCCTACCTGAAAGTCCAATAATTGTATAAAATTAACAACCAATATAAACTACATATTGGCTTTATACCGACTAAATATGTATATATTAATCTGATTATATATTGTAAAAAAACTATAATATATAATCAGATTTATATATACATATATAGTCGGTATATAGCCAATATATAGCTTATATTGGTTGATTGTATAATTATTGGACTTTCAGGTAGGAACAACATTGGCCTAATATGCGCTAGCAACATTAAGGCAATCTATTTTAGAAATATTACCCCAATATTTATTACCAATATTACCCCAATATTTATTACCAATATTGGGGTTATATATTTTGCCAATATTGGCCCACAATTGTAAACCAATATTGGGCCTATATGTTTTGCCAATATTGGAGCAATATTCGCCACCCTATTTTGGGTTTCATTGGTCTGCCAATATTGGCGCAATATGTGCCGGCCTATTTTGGGTTTGATTGGTCTGCCAATATTGGCGCAATATTCGTTTCCAATGTGTGACCGTGAAAACCCTTAATTAACTACCAATATTGGTGCTATATAGCCACAATATTGGTACGCTGTAGTAACCAATATTGCGCCAATATTGGCGCAATATGGTCGGGCCAATATAGGTTCTCTAGGCTCGGCAATATTGCCCAATATTGGCGCAATATTCCTTTTCAATGTAACCTAACGTTGGCTAAATAGTGGGACAATATTGTGCAATATCCCGCCAATATTGGCCGTATATTGGAAAGCGTTAACATTTTTTTCTAATTCCAATATTGTTGAATATTGGCGGCAACATCTGGCCAATATTGCGCCAATATAAATTTCTACTAGGGTATATATCTGTTTCATTTTTTGGATTCACTCAAAAACCCACTAGCTATTCACAAACTAATTTTTTGAGTTGTGTCACTTTTGAAGCAAGGGTGCAATATATTCTAAGAAATATTGATAGTTTAGTTTAAATATTACATATTTCACCATTATAATTACCTAATCCCTCATCATATGTTTTATTCAAATGTGACAAAGCTTCATTCCCCTTGGAAGTTGATGGTCAGTATCTACAAATCAGAATTATTTTTTTTATGATAAACACGTTTTGCAGTGTAAAATAGTTTCGGTTTTAAAATATTCAACTCCTCAACAGGTGATAATTGTGTAGGTTTTAAAGTTCTTTTGATTACAAAAATATACACTTTCAACCAGTTTTATAGGAAACAAAAAAAATTACAATTATTGTTTCAAGTAAACAAATAACATAACCTCAAAAATACTTTTATGCTTAAAGTAATAGTAAATGCTTTACTTCTGCAGGGCCGACTAGAGGACGGGGTAGCCGGGACTAATTCCTGGGGCCCGCACTCAAATGGAGGCCCGGTAACCGGATATTTGTTGGCTTGTATGAGCAGTTCGGCACAAGACTAGAGAGGAAAAGTGTTTGAGGACCTTTTTTTTTAGAAAATTCAATTGTAATATAAAGGAGGAAAAGTTTTTGTTTGGAGACCTTTTTTGTCACGGGGCCCAATCTAGCGAATTGTCCTGGGGCCCGGCCTGGCTCCCGGCCTGGCTCTCGGCGGCCCTGCGTCTGATAGATTTTTCTGTAATATTCGGTGAATTAACACACATATTTCCGATTTATTAAACTCGCAGTTCTAATTTGAACACAATTTTTAAATACACACAATTAAAATTATCTGATGGGAATTTAATAATGTACTTGGAGTTTAAAAAGGTTCGTAGTTCGTATGTCCTCCCTACTTTGTGACGTCACGCCTTGTTTATATGCTATGCTCAAAATAGCGTAGTTTTAAGCAGTCACATTGTTTGTTTCACGAATTTGTTGGCCTCTCTTTTTAATTACGGACATTTGCTGAAACATTTCGTATTCAATCAGCATAGTACACTGTCAAAGAAGTGACCAAAGTGCAGTGGCGTATCGAATTTAACTGGGTGTTCAATTTTTTTATGTATGTTCAACAATAATTACCAATTTATCTAATTACTATGATTATTTTTTGTTTGGTACCTCAGGGGTGGTCTCATATATAGTTGATCCTAATATATTAATGGTGTCCATGAGAAAATCATCACTCTTAATTTTTATGTATGTTTAACGATAATTCCTTAGCACGTTGTCCGATTTTAATATTATTTTTTTGTTAAATAGGAGATGCACCTCAGGCGTGGTTTCGTATACATTTGGTCAAGATCTGATGTAGTATCTATAATAAATTACTAAACTCAATTTTTAATAGCATCTGCACAATTTTGGAGCCGGTTTTTCAAAATACCTTTAATAATTTTATGTTTTTGAATTTTGAAGCTTGGGGCGGCAATATCACTAGGGCCGACCCTGCTACTAAAAACCAAATGACAACATTTCAGGATTGAAATAAAATTTGAATTAAGTAGGAAATCATATAAAAAGAGTAGTC